CAGAGCTCTTGTGAGGCGGCAGGGTAGGGAAAAGCTGTTTTCTCATCTTCAGTTTTCACCACCAATAAACACACCTGCAAAGGGCTGGAGAGGCTGGAGGAGAAGCTGGGGGTGGGGGGCAGCACCCCGTGAGTTTTGGGGTACCCTAAAAACTGGCCCTAGCAGAGTTCTTGCAAGGCAGCAGGATATTAAAAACCGTCTATTTTCACGTCTCCAGTTTCCACCGCCAACGAATACGCCTGCAAAGGGCTGGATAAGCTGGAGGAGAAGCTGCCCATCCTGCAGCAGCCCCCGGAGAAGGTAACGTCTCCCCTGGGGGACATGGAACGGGGTGGGGGGGCCAGCGCTGGGTGAGGTGCTGGGACAAGGCGTCCCTCTGCTGTCCCCTCCCAGGTGGTGGCAGGGACCAGGGAGCTGGTGTCGTCCACCGTGAGCGGCGCGGTGGGCCTGGCCCGCGGCGCGGTGCAGGGCAGCGTGGAGAGGACGCGCTCGGCGCTGGGCACCAGCGTCAGCACCGTGGTGGACTCCCGCGTGGGCCGGCTGCTGGCCACGGGGGTGGACACGGTACTGGGAAAATCGGAGGAGCTGGTGGAACGATACTTGCCTGGGACGGACGAGGAGCTGGGTGAGTGTTGACTGCGCCGTGTTGGAAACCATCTCCCAAATTTGGGGGTGCCCGGCACCCCAACCCCATTGCTCAGCACCGCCCCGGCATCGCTTGCACCCGCTGCTCCTGCTTAGCCCCCCGCGGGGGTGCCTGGGCAGCTCTGCCGTGCCAGGGCAGCGCCGAGCCCCACACGGTGCCCACGGCCACCGCGACACCGCGCGGGGGACGGTCCCCACTCGGTGGGAACCCGAAGCCAGGGAACGCGACGCTGCGGTGGGTGAACTCTCACCTGGAAACCAGAAAGCAAATATAGCCCCGCTCCGCCCGCCCCGGGTATTTATAGCTCGGCATCGGGTAGTGGTGGGCAGAACTGGCCCCGTGTCACGACAGAGGTGACCGGAGAGGCCATCTGGCTTTTTGGTGACTCCTCCACATGACCCGGTGGCCAAGCATCCCGTGGGTGGGCACCCCTGCGTCCCTGCGACAGGGCACGGAGCTCGGGGGTTTCATCCCAGCGCCGGCAGCGGGATGCTCTGGTGCCCGGCACGGGATGGTCCGGTGCCCGGCACGGGATGGTCCGGCCACGCGGTTCTCACCCCCTGGTCCCACAGTGGCAACGGCGGCGGCAGGCGTGGAGGCGGCCACGCCGGAGCGGCAGAGGCGGTGGCAGAGCTACTTCGTCCGCGTGGGCTCGCTCTCGGCCAAGCTGCGGCACCGAGCCCTGCGGCGCTCGCTGGGTGAGCTGCAGCGGGCACGGCACAGCGCCCAACAGGTCCTGGCCCAGCTGCACCACATCATCGAGCTGGTAAGGATGTGGCGGGCACCGTGCCAGCCCCGTGCCAGGCCGGCACCCCCCCACCCGGTGTTCTCCCACCCTGCTGTCCCTTCCCCTAGATCGAGCACGGGCGGCAGGGAATGGACGGGTCCCTCTACGGTGCCCGCCAGCATCTCCACCGCATGTGGCTGGAGTGGAGCCACCAGGATGCCGTGCCCACGGAGGAGAGCGAGGTACGGGGTGGGGGTACCACGGAGGACACCGAGATATGGGGTTCCGAGGGGGGCCGGGCAGGAGGACCATCGCACCCCAGGGTCGCCACTGCCCGCTGGCTGCCTTGCAGGTTGAGGCGTGGACGCTGACCATGCTGCGTGGGCTCCTGCGCCAGCTCCACGCCGCCTGCACCCGCCTGGCCGCCGGCGCCTGGGGTTTACCCAGCAGCATGCAGGAGACGGTGGGACACGTCCGGCACGGCGTGGAGGGCGTGCAGGCTTCCCTCTCCCACGCTCACTCTTTCCACGACCTGTCGGGTTTGGTGCTGGCGCAGAGCCGGGAGACGGTGATGCGGGCGCAATTGAGCATCGACGAGCTGCTGGAATACGTGGGGCAGCACGCGCCCCTGCCGTGGCTGGTGGGACCCTTCGCCCCGGCGCTGGTGGAGTATCCGGAGGATTTCCCCATTGAGATGGCCAAGTGGGAGGGTTGTATCACCGTGGGGGGGACGCACCAGGTGCCCACTCCCTCACGGCTCTGCAGCCAGCGCTGAGCCACCGAATTTGGGGGAGCGCCCACCCGCCTGCGGCGGCGAACCCCATCCCCACCGGGGACGCGGTGACGATGGACTCGGCGACCCGGCGTGGGACCACTGACGCCGCAGCTGGGGACTCGTTCAGGGAGGGAGGGGACGGTGGCACATGGAGGACACGGCGTGTGCCCAGCCCTGTCCGTCCGGGGCTCCCCGCGGTGTCCCCGAGCCGGGGGAGCGTCGGGATTTCTTGTCTTAACGGCTTCAAAGCACTTTAACGAGGAAGAAAACAACTTTTTAGGCCTTAAAATGACTCCCAGCCTGTAGCACCGTCTGCGGCAGAGCCACCACGTCGTGCCGGCCTCGCCGGGGGACTCGGCAGGGGTGGCAGAACTGGGGGCCACGGGGTGATCCCACGGGGAGGGTTTCGCCGTTGGGGTGCTGGGCTGGGGAGAGCGAGGCGGGTGCCGGTGGGGTGCTGGGATGGAGGGTGCCGGCGGGGTGCCGGGGCTGCTGGACTGTGAACCGCGGCCGTGTGGCACTGGACTTCGTCCTGGTTATCACCGCCACGGGGCTGGGCCCGGAGCATCCCCGACATTGCGCGTGCAGCGGGGTGCCACTGGGTCCCCCGGAATTCTCTGTCTTCCTGCCACCAGCACCCACTGGGACCAGTCTGACCTTCTCTGCTGGGCAAGTTGGGAGGGAACGGGGAACAC